TCCCAGGCTGTTCTAGAAGCAGCTCTGGTGCTACTCCCAAGCTGTTCTTGAAGCAGCTCTGGTGCTGCTCCTGGGCTGTTCTAGAAGCAGCTCTGGTGCTGCTCCCAGGCTGTTCTAGAAGCAGCTCTGGTGCTGCTCCCAGGCTGTTCTAGAATCAGATCTGGTGCTGCCCTATTGCTGTTCTAGAAGTACCAGTAGCTCACATTTAATGGTAAATAAAAATATTGTTTATCATTTGTTTACATGTATTATCAGTGTTTACCTGTGGATGGTCAGTAGCAATAAGCAGGTTACTGGTAGCTGGTGATCCATAAGACAACATTTATAGGACAATTCTTTACAGACAGAGAATTGTTTGTCTGTTTTTTTGTTTTGCTTTTCAAATAAGTACCTGCTTCTAGAGCTTTTATACCAGCTACCACTTGATATTTGTTCTGCTATTATGATTATTAGGTATCTAAACAGTACCCAATGTGACTGGAAGAGAACACCATTGCTGGTATCATGTATGACAGATAATGTACAATGTATGATAGAATTATTAGATCTGGGAGTAAGAACAGATATATTTGATTCTAATGGAGATAATGTCTATCACTATGCAGCTAGAAGTGATCAGAGTCATTATATTGAGGTGAGATTCTCACAATATTTTAGTCCACCTTATTGGTTAAATTAGCTAAAATGGCTAATGTGATAATGTCTGTTACTATGGTGCTAGAAGTGATCAGAATCATTATATTGAGGTAAGATTCTCACAATATTTGAGTACACCATTGGTTAAATTAGCTAAAATGGCTAATGTGATAATGTCTGTTACTATGGTGCTAGAAGTGATCAGAATCATTATATTGAGGTAAGATTCTCTCAATATTTTAGTCCACCATTGGTTAAATTAGCTAAAATGGCTAATGTGATAATGTCTGTTACTATGGTGCTAGAAGTGATCACAATCATTATATTGAGGTAAGATACTCACAATATTTTAGTCCACCATTGGTTAAATTAGCTAAAATGGCTAATGTGATAATGT